TCAGTGTATATATTTGGTTTCGATTCCATTGCACACACAAAATCAAAGCGCTTATTCTATTTATAATAAAGCAAGTTAAAATAATTTATATTCTTTGAAGAAATAATATGTGTACATTAGAATTACATATTTATTATATAATAAAATGTTGCATCTTTTTATACATATTTAGACAGTCAAAATATATATGTGAATGTGATTAATAATATAGAGTAATGAAACATGCATATGCACACACAGATAAATGTGCTAAAAAGTTAGACGTTCCCTCAGCTCTTAAAAATCAAAACGTAATTACCGCAAACCGCGCAAAACATGTTTATTTCAAAATACACGGTGCTGAGTTCACGAGATAATCCTAAACTCTTAATTGCGGCGTAATTACTTATGCGTTCGCCGATGTGCGAGCGTAGAGCTCTCGCAAAACCTTTTGCGCATTATGCATATATCCACGGCTAGATACCTTACGGCCATGAAGCCGGAAAAGCCAAAGGCGTAAAGGGTCCGCGTGCACTGAAATGAGATCCCTTTCTTCCTTCGAAACTCAACTAAATGAAAAACCCATCCCCGCGCGAAAGAACGCCGGCCATAGGGCTTTTATTGTTTCATGAAAGGCGACTGCAGACAGGGAAAAAGATATTGAAAATACGCATTGAAAAACCTCTTACTCCGGCGAGCACTTTTCGATCGGCTCCGCGTATCGGATGAATGAAAGTGGCACGGATTTTTCCACTTTTTAGAATTTATTTAACAAGCTGATATTCCCAGAATTTATATACTGGTTTTGAGCCGAGATTCAAAAAACCGGCGAGAAATTTATCTCATTACTCACGAAACCGTATATAGAATTCGCGATAAATCTAAAATCTTATTAATGAATCTATTAATATGTAATGCAGATACTTAACCTTATATCAAGATATATCAGTCTACAGGAAACTGTGTGGTAGGTAAAGGATATACGAAAGATTATGATTGTACCTCACGGCACTACATCCAAGTGCTCTTTTCTTGGACTTCTTAGAGCACACAGGCTTGCCTTTAAGGCGATGTAAAGTTCCATTACATAAAACGTTCCTTACATTCGCCTTAAAAGCTGCATAAATCGTTAGCTCGTCACACAATTCTGTTGTACGTAATGTAATCCATTGCAATCCGTTTGCGATCGACAGGCGATACGAGCGTTCTTTTAATCCCGGAAATGGAAGCGTTAGGATTGATGTAAGTATCGGTTGTCGCGCGCCGCGTACACGATTTTAATTTTCAATGGAAATCGCGGATTTCGTTTGCTTAATATATCAGAAGAGACGGTGAACAGAGCGAATCTTTGAACTTTTTAAACTAACAGCGATCGAGGAACGATCGGTCATGACCGCGCGGGAAACCAAGTGGCGCGAGAAGTGGTACGTGTGGACCTCCGAAATATCTTCCAACTTTTATACGATCTTACGATACTCGTAAAAACTTTACAACTTATATAAACCGTCTTTAGACATTCACTCGCGCACGACGAGGGAACGCAGTACGGACCTTGTCTCGTATCCAAGAGACCTTCGATTATTTTGATTTCCTTGATTAACATATTATCAAGAATGAATTGTTCATAATTTGCAACTAAATCTTTTTATTATCTTACTTTATCGTAACTTTGAAAAATTACTTGTGTGGAGTTTGTTTTTCTATATAAACATATCGTCGTCTTGGGTATATTTTATGTAATAAGAATAAGATCAATCACTTTCTCTGTCTATTTTTAGATATAATAATATTAAAGATAAAAAATAAGATAAAACTTTATCCGAGTTTCTTTTTCGGAAAAATCGAAAAATTTATAGTTAAGAAAAGTTATGCATTGTGATAGACTGATTGTGAGTTAATTCTTATTTATTTTTGTAAAAAATTATTTTATTTTTTTTCGTTACTCTCGAAAATGGC